CTATGAACCTGGCGACCCGGGTTCGATTCGTGTGCGCGTGTGTGTGTGTCGGAGCGGTGGTGGTAGCGGTTAGCGCTATGCTGCGCTACGAACCTGGCGACCCGGGTTCGATTCCCGCTCACGGTCAACGCCCAGTGACGATTATCTGAACCGGTCCCGGGCCTCCCCTAGGTCGACTCAGCCTCAAATGAGTACCTGGTGCGGTGTGTAGTAAACATTGCCACTAGGGAGACAAAGGCGGTCCGGCTTGGTGCTGGCCACCCACCCCCTCGTGCGCCGTTCCGGCCTTCATAGGTGCTCGCTAACGGCTCTTGCCCCTACAGTCTGTTAAGGCTATGCGGGGGATCTTTGTCTTTGTTCACCACGAACCGTTCCCCTTGAGCTATTTGGGGGAGCAGGAAGGAGCAGGAGGTGGGTGGGTTGGAGTAGCACCTCGGCCTTTTGCTTTGGTTTTGCTTGCGCCTGGACGAGCCGATGCTGGGCTCTTGGCTCGGTTTATCCCAACTCGGGGGGATTTCGGAGATAAAACAGAAACGAGGAGGGGGAGGAGGTGGGGGGAGGGGGGAGAAAGAACGTAGAAAAAAAATCCCCAATCATGCCGCTGCCCGGGAACTCATTTGTGGGATCGCATTGAAATGAGAGATTAAAAATTAAAAATCAAATTATGCGACAGTGAGATGCGCTTCTTTCTCGTTTAAAAATAAAAAAGGTATTTTAATGTCCCGTCCTGTGCTGCCGCTGCTGCTGTTTGCTGCTACTGCTGCTGCTGCTACTGCCGCTGCTTCAACTGCTGCTAATGCTGTTGCTACTACTGCCGCTATTACAACTGCTGCTATTGTCGCTGGTGCTGCTGTTGCTGCTACTACTGCTGCTACTACTGCTACTGCTGCTACTACTACTGTTATTCCTGTTGCTACTACTGCTGCTACTACTGCTGCTGCTACTGCTGCTAATATTGCTGCTATTACTACTGCTGCTACTACTGCTGCTGCTACTGCTGCTACTACTACTGCTGCTACTACTGCTGCTACTACTGTTGCTACGACTAGTTCTATTACTACTGCTTCTACTACTGCTGCTATTACTGCTGGTAATATTGCTGCTGCTGCTACTGCTGCTACTATTGCTGCTACTACTACTGCTGCTACTACTACTGCTGCTACTACTGCTGCTACTACTACTGCTGCTACTACTGCTACTACTACTGCTGCTACTACTGCTGCTGCTATTACTGCTGCTATTACTGCTGCTAGTCCTACTGCTGCTACTTCTGCTGCTATTACTGCTGCTACTACTGCTACTACTACTGCTGCTGCTACTACTACTGCTGCTACTACTGCTGCTACTACTGCTGCTGCTATTACTGCTGCTATTACTGCTGCTACTCCTACTGCTGCTACTACTGCTGCTATTACTGCTGATACTGCTGCTACTACTACTGTTACTACTACTACTGCTGCTACTACTGCTGCTACTACTGCTGCTGCTACTGCTGCTAATATTGCTGCTATTACTACTGCTGCTACTACTGCTGCTGCTACTGCTGCTACTACTACTGCTGCTACTACTGCTGCTACTACTGTTGCTACGACTAGTTCTATTACTACTGCTTCTACTACTGCTGCTATTACTGCTGGTAATATTGCTGCTGCTGCTACTGCTGCTACTATTGCTGCTACTACTACTGCTGCTACTACTACTGCTGCTACTACTGCTGCTACTACTACTGCTGCTACTACTGCTACTACTACTGCTGCTACTACTGCTGCTGCTATTACTGCTGCTATTACTGCTGCTAGTCCTACTGCTGCTACTTCTGCTGCTATTACTGCTGCTACTACTGCTACTACTACTGCTGCTGCTACTACTACTGCTGCTACTACTGCTGCTACTACTGCTGCTGCTATTACTGCTGCTATTACTGCTGCTACTCCTACTGCTGCTACTACTGCTGCTATTACTGCTGATACTGCTGCTACTACTACTGTTACTACTACTACTGCTGCTACTACTGCTGCTACTACTGCTGCTGCTATTACTGCTGCTATTACTGCTGCTAGTCCTACTGCTGCTACTTCTGCTGCTATTACTGCTGCTACTACTGCTACTACTACTACTGCTGCTACTACTACTGCTGCTACTACTGCTGCTACTACTGCTGCTGCTATTACTGCTGCTATTACTGCTGCTACTCCTACTGCTGCTACTACTGCTGCTATTACTGCTGATACTGCTGCTACTACTACTGTTGCTACTACTACTGCTGCTACTACTGCTACTACTACTGTTGCTACTACTACTACTGCTACTCCTACTGCTGCTACTTATGCTACTATTACTGCTGCTAGTACTGCTACTACTACTACTGCTGCTACTACTACTGCTGCTACTACTGCTACTACTACTGCTGCTACTACTACTGCTGCTACTACTGCTGCTACTACTGCTGCTGCTATTACTGCTGCTATTACTGCTGCTAGTCCTACTGCTGCTACTTCTGCTGCTATTACTGCTGCTACTACTGCTACTACTACTACTGCTGCTACTACTACTGTTGCTACTACTACTGCTGCTACTACTACTACTGCTGCTACTACTACTACTGCTACTACTACTGCTACTACTGCTGCTACTACTACTGCTGCTACTACTACTGCTGCTACTGCTATTACCACTGCTGCTACTACTGCTGCTACTACTGCTGCTGCTAATACTGCTGCTGCTACTACTGCTGCTACTACTGCTGCTGCTAATACTGCTGCTACTACTACTGCTGCTACTGCTATTACCACTGCTGCTACTACTGCTGCTGCTACTACTGCTGCTGCTAATACTGCTACTGCTGCTGCTGCGAGAATATACGAAGCCGGTTGTGACGATTAAACATGGACTGACGAGCAGAGACAAAGACGCCCCACGTGTTTCTTTAGCGGAGTCTTGAGGTGCAAGCGCTGCTGCACGGATGAGCACGCGTAACGGCCTGTAACACGGCGACACGAGGGTAGGTGGGTGGCCAGCACACCGCGCCCGGCCGCCTTTGTCTCCCCGGCGCAACAGTCGCGCACACACCCTTCTTGCTTTTAAGGCTGAGTTGACCTAGGGGGGTGGGGTGGAGGGGGAGGGTCACAGGACCTGTTTCAGATAATCGTCACCGGTGGTGTAGGTTGTTGACCGATCTCGGGACTTAGATATTAACCCTCTGACCCGCCTGTGCTGGACATCTGTGAAAAGAAAGGGGCATGTGCAGCTCATCGGGTTCCTTCTGTTGTGTAAATAAATATTCTGATGTAGCCGGGAATCGTAGCGCAGCAAGGCGCTAACGACTGCGCAACAAATGCCATTCTTCAAACCGCATTGCCAAATTATATATATACAAAAAACATTTAAACCCATAACATCCTTAATAGGTGGCTAAGAGATGTTAACTACCTCGCCTGGTACGCAGGAGGTCGTGGGTTTGATCTGAACCCTGCTGAATATTTGGAGTTTGCGTGTCTCTCTTTCTCTCTCTCTCTCATCATCATCATCACGGTGGCTAGGAGATGTTAACTACCTCGTCTGGTATACAGGAGGTCGTGGGTTCGATCCGGATCCTGACGATGCCTGCTGCTGCTGTATATTTAAAGTTGGCGTGTCTCTCGCGCTTGTCACCGTGGCGTGCGCAATGACCACCACCACCACCACCACGTGACTTTTCTTTCGTGCTGTGCGCGGTGCTTTTAAGCGCCACAGCGCGTGGATTTGTAGCGTTTGTTTTCATTTGTGTTGCTGGTGACTTTGCGTATTTCACATCGAAATCGCCTCCAGTGCTTTTGCTGCTGGCGGAAATAAAAGTTGTTTTAAAAATCAAAAGTCTCTTTCTCTCCCTCCGTATATCCCCGTGATCGCGTGGATTTTTCACCGGGGGTCCTCCACGTTTAGAATCAACGAAGTGACCGCGCGTATCGGAGTTTTTTTTGTCTGCTGCTATACATGTCCACGCGATGGTGATGATGGTGATGATATTGATGGGCCCACCTCGTTGAGCTATCATTTGTGAGAAGCCAGGATCGCTTCTCAACAAAAGAGGTGCGGTATGGATAGCTCAGTGGAGCCCTTACCTGGTCAAATATAATAAAAACATTTTTTTAAATCGTTTAATAGTTTATCGTTGTATAGGTGCTGTTCGGCCACCAGTCCGCTAAGGCTGCATGGAGGAGAGTGATCTCTGTATTATCCCCCTGCCCGCCACGACCCTTTATCCCCCCCCCGTCACCCCTATGGGGGTGGTGGATTAGAGCCAGGAATTATTTCTCTTCTCTGTCTTCCGTGTCTCTGGGTCAGATGGCCTCGATCGCTCGCACGAAGGCCCTTTTAGCCCCATTCCCAAACCCTCCCGTGGGCTAATCCCTGCCGCCCTGACTTGCCTGTGTGTGTGTGTCTGTGTGTGTGTCTGTGTGTGTGTGTGTGCCTGTGTGTCTGTGTGTGTGTCTGTGTGTGTGTGTCTGTGTGTGTGTCTGTGTGTGTGTGCCTGTGTGTGTGCCTGTGTGTCTGTCTGTGTGTGTGTCTGTGTGTGTGTCTGTGTGTGTGTGTCTGTGTGCCTGTGTGTGTGTGTCTGTGTGTGTGTCTGTGTATGTGTCTGTGTGTGTGTGTGTCTGTGTGTGTCTGTGTGTGTGTGTGTGTTTGCCTGTGTCTGTGTGTGTGTGCCTGTGTGTGTGTATGTTTGTGTGTGTGTCTGTGTGTGTATGTGCCTGTGTTTTTGTCTGTGTGTGTGTCTGTGTGTGGGGAGCGATAGTGTAGCGGTTAGCGCGCTGCGCTATGAACCTGGCGACCCGGGTTCGATTCCCGCTCACGGCCAACACCAGTGACGATTATCTGAACCGGTCCCAGGCCTCCCCTAAGGTCGACTCAGCCTCAAATGAGTACCTGGTGCGGTGTGTAAACATTGCCATTAGGGAGACAAAGGCGGTCGGGCGTGGTGCTGGCCACCCACCCCCTCGTGTACCGTTCCGGCCTTCATAGGTGCTCGCTAACAGCACTTGCTCCTACAGTCTGTTAAGGCTATATGGGGGATCGTTGTTTTATCTTTGTCTGTGTGTGCCTGTGTGTGTGCCTGTGTGTGTGCCTGTGTGTGTGCCTGTGTGTGTGCCTGTGTGTGTGTCTGTGTGTGTGTCTGTGTGTACCTGTATGTGTGTCTGTGTGTGCCTGTGTGTGCCTGTGTGTGCCTGTGTGTGCTTATGACCGGCTCCAGTTTAACAGCAGAGGTCTCACTCCGGATCAGTCGAGCGGCAATATCTTTTCATCGTTTGCGTAACGCTGTGTGGAAGCTACCTGGTCTGTCGCTCCGCACTAAGCTTCAGGTCTTCTCGGCCACGGTCATTCCCTCCCTTCTCTACGCTTGCGAAACGTGGACACCCCTAATGGAACATCTTCGCCAGTTAGAAACATTTAGGCTGGCCTGCCTACGATCCATCCTGGGTTTAACCAGGCTGGATTGTGTGAGGAGCTCACAAATCCTTGAAAGATCTGGGCAGGGTCCCATCGGTGAGCTCCTCCGGCAGGCAAGGCTGCGTTGGCTGGGTCATGTAGCCCGCATGCCCAACCACCGCATGCCTAAACAGGCAGTGACTGTGACGTCAACACGTCACGTGCGGATGTCGCTCGTCGCCCCTCCCCACACCCCCCACCGTCGTTGTCACAACAACGACGTCATCGTCGTCGTCACAACAAACAACCAACAACAAGAACAACAACAACCCGCCATTGGCCACGAGGTGACGGTGACGTCACCACGTTACGTGTCGCCTCTGCCAGACCAGCTGCACGCAACTGCGGAAGTCGTCACGTGACATGGGTTGACTGCTGTGCCAGGCTAGGTGCAGGAAGAGGTCACGGGACAGACCCAGCAGGTGCCATGGGTTGACTGCTGCTGTGCCAGGCTAGGTGCAGGAAGAGGTCACGGGACAGACCCAGCAGGTGCCATGGGTTGACTGCTGCTGTGCCAGGCTAGGTGCAGGAAGAGGTCACGGGACAGACCCAGGTGGGTGCCATGGGTTGTACTGCTGTGCCAGGCTAGGTGCAGGATGAGGTCACGGGACAGACCCAGGTGGTGCAATGGGTTGTACTGCTGTGCCAGGCTAGGTGCAGGATGAGGTCACGGGACAGACCCAGCAGGTTTCATGGGTTGTACTGCTGTGCCAGGCTAGGTGCAGGATGAGGTCACGGGACAGTCCCAGCAGGTGTCATGGGTTTACTGCTGTATCAGGCTAGGTGCAGGATGAGGTCACGGGACAGACCCAGGTGGTGCAATGGGTTGTACTGCTGTGCCAGGCTAGGTGCAGGATGAGGTCACGGGACAGTCCCAGCAGGTGTCATGGGTTTACTGCTGTATCAGGCTAACAACAACAACAACCGCCATCACCACGACCACCGCAAACCAAACAGCCTCGAATGAGTAACTGGTGCGGTGTGTAAATATCGCGACTGGGGAGAGACAAAGGCGGCCGGGCGCGGTCCTGGACAACTCACCCCACCATCATCTTGTGCCCTTGCGGCTTTAATCAGGGCTGCTGCTACTGGCTAACAAGCACTTGCCCTAACAAGGCAGCGTAGGCTACACGGGGGATCTTTGTCTTTGTTGTTGTTGTTGTCGCTGCAGCAGCGAGACGGAGGGAGGAGCAGAGAGGAAACCCAGGCAATGGAAATCGGCGTGGCAATTTTCTTAATTTAAGTTAATGTTTCATATTTATATATTTTTTAAAAAGCTACAGTATATTTACACTTTCATTTTTATTTTAACAGGTGTGAGGCCCCTTCTGAGCTGCTGCGTCGCTCTTCTTCACAAGCGGCCATCACAAGCGATAGCTCAACGAAGTCGTGAGCTTATCGTCGTCGCGCGCGAATTTATAGCAGTGGGGAAAATAACTTTTAAAAAACGCACGTGACGTTGATTGTTGATGTGGAAGGGGGTGGGGGGGGCGGGAACCTGGAGGAACATCCACGCGACCACGGTGAGAGAGAGAGAGAGGGAGACACGACACCTCCAAATATACAGCAATAGGCGTCAGGTTCGGAAT